AGACAGGTTAGAGAAGTGGGCAGTACACAATAGGATGCAGTTCAGCAAGGACAAATGAAAAGTGCTGCACCTAGGGCACAAAAATATCCAGCACACCTACTGCCTGGGAAGTGACCCTCTCAGCAGCACAAAAGTGGAAAGGGATCTCGGAGTCATAGTTGACTTCAAGATGAACATAAGTTGTCAGTGTAATGAAATCATCATCAAAGCTAGCCACACTTTATCATGCATCAGCAGATGCATGACAAATAGATCCAAGGAGGTGATACTTCCCTTCTCTGCAGCATTGGTCAGACTAGTTGGAGTACTGCATCCAATTTTGGATGCCATACTTCAAGAAGGATGTTGATAGACTCACCAGAGTCCAGAGGAGGGCAACTTATGGTATGGAGCTTACAGGACAAGCCCTATGAGAAGAGACTAAGGGGACCTCTTCAGCCTCCACAAGAGAAGGCTGAGAGATGATCTTGTAGCCATCTACACATACATTAGGGGGATGCAGTATGGGATTGGAGATGCTCTGTTCACCAGGGTGCCTCTTGGGGTAAGAAGGAACAATGGTCACAAACTGACAGAGGGTAGTTTTAGGCTAGATATCAGAAAACACTTCTTCAGGATAAAGGTAGCCAAAATTAGGAATGGGCCTCCAAGGGAGGTGGTGCTCTCCCCTACCTTGCAGGGTCTTTAAGAAAAGGCTGGATAGGCATCTGGCTGGCGTCATGTGACCCCAGCACACTTTTCTGCCTAGGCAAGGGGTTGGACTCAATGATCTGTTGAGATCCCTTTCAACCCTAGCATCTATAAATCTATGAATTTTGAAGACAATTGCACAAACTTTTCCATAATCATATTAATAAGTACCAAGAACCAACTATCTCCTAGCCTTAATCCTGCATTGGCTTCACTCTTAATTCAGACTGCACTTTCTGAATCATAAACACACTGCTGTTCCAACTCAATCATTTTATCAGGGATTTCAGAATTTTTAATGATGTCCTAGAGCTCGTTACAAACAATAATGCTGAGCATCATTTGGATTCTATACATTATTTTCATTTATGAAGCTTTGTGGAACTTCACGAAGGTAGGGCTCTAACCACTAGGTTATTCTACAAAAGGGGATTGCAGCACTTCCTCTTCCAAATGTGTTTAAAAAGAAGAAGTCAATTATCTACACCAGGGATTGGAAACATAGGGCCCATAGGCCAAATCCAACCTGAGGAGCCATTGAATCTAGCCTCTGGAGCTGTAGAGCTTTACCCATGTCAGCACCTGCACTCTGTGCCACTGCAACTTTTTGTCACTCCCTCTGCAGCTTCAGTGTGGGCACAGCTTCAATCCAGTGGGGAGCTTCATTGGGACTTTCAATTTTCAGCTTCACCCATGTAAGGAGTGGTGACGGCAGTACTGACCCAGCTGTCAGCTGCCTGGCCTCAGCTCAGTTCTCCACCAGCTCTGCCCTTTCCACAGGCAGAGAGTGGGGGGTGGGTGGGATAAGTGGCAGTGGCAGTGGCACAGATCCCAGCTGCTTGACCCTCGCATGACTGAAGTCAAAGGCAAAGGCAAAGCCCCACAGTGCCCCACACTGCTGGCATGCTACCAAAACCTGGTATGACTGACCCCCTTCTCAAAGCAGAACCATCCCCTACTATATCATCCCAGGAAAGGCTTTGTCTAGCCAGGTCTTAAAAACCTCCAAGCATGGAGATTCCACAGCCCCCACTGGGTAACCTGTTCTAGTGCTTTACTATGCTCCTAGTGAGAAGTTCTTCCTCATATCAAACCTAAACTTCCCTTGCTGCAACTTGAGACCATTGGTCCTTGTTCTGTCATCTGCCACTACTGAGAAGAATCTAGCTCCATATAAGAGGTTCCTCAGTTCAAGCAGTGGTCTTGGATTTTGGCACCTAGGTCCCCATCTCTCTACCTACCTGTGGCAGGTCACTATTTGTACCTGCCACTTTAAGGGCCTAAAGACAGCAGCTGGCAGTTCCCTGATTAGGGCAGCCATTTTGGATTCAGGGCTACCCATATAAACAGGGCATTTTGCTGCTGGAAGGCCAGGCAACAACATTGCCTGGCTGCAGGGGTGCTGGTATAAATCTAGAGGTAAGGGAGGAGCTGTAGGGGGTGGTCAGGAGGCTCCTAGTCGTAGGCATGACCTAAAACTGCACCCTGCTGGGAGTGTGTGGCCTGGTGGGGCTCTCAGTGGCGTGGGAGCCCTCAGGAAATGCCAGGCCAGTTACCACCCCGGTGAAAGGCAGGTTGGGGTGCCTTAACCCCAGCTCCCACAACTGGATGGGTTACCCCCTTGTAGGGTCTGGAAGGTGGACCCCAGTGATAGAGTGGGACCATAGACTCAAACCTGTCTTGACATCCCCGGACTGGTCCATGCTGGGGCCAGGACTGGAAAGGTCAAAGGGCCAGGGGCCCACCATCAGGGACTCCCAGAGCTGAGGAACTGGGGTTCCAACTGGCCTGGAGGTGGGCCAGGGCCAGTAGAGCCAGAGGTCCCGGTGGGACCACACCCGTAAAGGTGAAGCAGCTCAGGGAGCTATGCAGCCTGGAATGAAGGCGAAGTAGGCTGCCAGAATGGAGGGATCCAGGTGGGGCTCAAAGAGCAGGATTCTGGGGCCCAGTGTGGAGCCAGTGATGTTGATAACATATGGATGCCATCTGTGAGGCTTGGGCTGCGGTGTAGGGAAGGAACAGAGCCGCAGATAGTGCCCCCTGGCATTGGGGCAAGAAATGGGCAGCCTCCCACTTAATTAACATCAATCAATTAATTAATTAAAAACAAGGCATGGTGGGCAAGAAGGTGGGCAGTTAGCCCAGAAACAGGTGGGTAGGCCACAGGAAAATTGGCCCCGAGAAGGCCCCCTGTTACATTGCCCCTTCTTTAGCATTTCACTCCTGGTTAGCTTAGGCAGCCCTTGTTCAGCTGGCCAGTTTTCAGCCTCCTTTCCCTAAATGCCTCACTGTCTCAATGATTTCAAAGGGGAACTTAGACACTTCAATCAGACATGAGGATTTCCTATATGGAAGTTCCTGGGAGTTACATTTCCCCATCTGTATAAAGGGGATATTAGCACTGACCTACCTAATGAGGTGCTGAGATAATATGTCCATTAATGATTGTGAAGTACTCAAATAATGTGGTGAGGAAGCTATACTAGTGCCTCAAACAGAAAATATGAATAGTGAGAAGCAACAAATAACATGGATCTGCAGCTAAGGGTGCATGGAACTGGCCAGTTATTTTTGCAAAAATATTTACCTAGCACTTTTTACATTCTTTGACCTGCTCTACTTAAAAATAACACCAGTAGAATAAAAGAAAAGATACAGTAATGGGAGACAGTAATGTGCTTACAATATAATAAGCTAACCCCACTACAAATAAAATCCAAAGCAACTACTTGCCAGGTATTATGCTTATTTATCAAATTGCAGTTGAAAGTCAAGAAGAGTTGAGGATACAGTGATAAAATGTCTGAGTTAAAATTGGACTCAAAATTACCCTTCTGGTCAGAACACTTTTTCATCCAGAAAAAAATATTTTTCTGATTTCCCCCTTTCAAAAATCAAAATTTAAGCTGATAGTTTTGTACTCCTCACATATTCAAATAAGTGCTTTGCATGTATTCTGTGTTGTATAATTAGATACTGAGAGTGCAGAAGACACTTTGGAGTGCTGTGCCAATGTAACACAAACTGTGCTTGGTAAGGGATCAAAAAGAAAATGGAAGCAAAGCTAATGTATTTTGGAAATGCCTGCCCAGGACAAAGATCCTGGTATGGGTACTTTTATACTTGACAAGAAGCAAGAAATTAAAGATCAAAATGCTGTCCTTGGTGCTGGCATGCAACTCCCAGTGGCTTTGACTAGCTATACACATACCCAAAGGCAGGCTCTGGCCACCTAAGACTTGGGTCATTGAGGGTGAGTTAGAAGCAATTTTACCTCAGTTCTGGGAGGGCAAAATAGAGTTCACTAGGTCAAGTCCTACACCCAGTTGACTTGGGCTATATGTTTCAGCTGCTGCTGTATTGCAACCCTGGACTGGACTGCTGCACCATTCAAAGGCCTATCCTTGAGGTGACATGGTAAACTGATTTTTATGCTGGGGTAGTCTAGCTAAAAATGAAACTCCCTAGCAAAGTGTCTTAATTAACATGTCGTAATTTTGGCATTACCCACACACCTTCTCTAGCCCTCCTCATGACACCAGGGCCCTGGGTATTCAAAAAAAGAAAATATATGTGGCCAGGAAAAAGCAAGCAACCCTGAAAGTGTTTGGCCCAGTAAGATGGATATGACCCTTGGTTCTAATGGGCTGAAACATATCTCTGTAGATCTTTTAGCATGATTCACTATAGCTATGCACCATGTGTCATTGTTTACACTCAGGATATTAGCATTCCTATGAGATATGCCTTGAATGTGGTTATTAGAATCCAAGTTAACTTTTCATTTAGTTGAATTTACTGCTGGCAAATAATCATAGAATCATAGAACCATAGACAATTAGAGTTGGATAGGACCTCAGAAAGTCTTCTAGTCCAACCTCCTACTCAAAGCAGGACCATCCCCAACTAGATCATTCCAGCCAGGGTTCTCTCAAGCCAGGTCTTAAAAACCAATAAGAATGGAGATTCCACCACCTCTCTCAGTAACCTGTTGCACTACTTCACCACCCTCCTAGTGAGAGTTTTTCCTACTATGGATAGTAAACTTCCCTTGCTACACCTTGAGACCATTGCTCCTTGTTCTGTCATCTACCACCACTGAGAACTGATTAGCTTCATCATTTTTGGAACCACCCTTCAGGTAGTTGAAGGCTGCTACCACATAGACTTCATAGACATTAGGGGCTGGAAGGAACTTCATGAGATCATCGAGTCTAGCCCCCCTGCCATAGGCAAGAAGTCTGCTGGGGTCAAATGAACCCAGCAAGATAAACATCTGAATGCCTTTGAATGAATCCAGAGTAGGTGCTTGCAACACCTCTAGGGGGAGTCTGTTCCAGACCCTGGACACTTGGACTGTAAAGAAGTTTTTCCTTATGTCTAGTCTAAACTGGCCTTCCAGGAGTTTGTGGCTGTTAGAACTTGTTGTCCCTTGGGGGCCCTGGTGAACAACTGTTCTTCCAGGTCCTGTTGTACCCCCCTTATATACCTATAAGCAGACACCAAGTCACCCCTGAGACTTCTTTTCTCCAGGCTGATAAGTCCCATGTCCTTCAGCCTCTCCTCATAAGGCTTACTCTCTTGGCCTTTGATCATATGGGTGGCTCTCCTTTGGATTCTCTCAAGCTTATCCACATCCATCCTGAAGTGAGGGGCCCAAAACTAGACACAATACTCCATAGAATCATAGAATCATAGAATCAATGAGTCAGAAGGGACCTAGACAGATCATCAAGTCCGACCCCC